CCTATGATAAATTTTAAATAGAAAAGGAAAATAGGAAGATCCTAAAATAATTTCTTCTGACAAAGTTGAGACATAAACATTATACCGATGAAACAGAAATGGCCAAAGTGTGATAATACTTCAACAAATAATGTTTACAATTATCTTTGGGTTATATTCTAAAAGTGATATCCAGACATAAATTATGCTGTTGCAAAATTACTTATTTTTGATACCATTTAAAAAACAATACAAGATCATTTTTAATTTTCTTGTATGTTGAATATCATACAGAACCTTTAGAGTATACATATATACTTTAAACTGTAGATGAGAAACTATAATATCTAAACCAGACCCCACCAAAACCAGTTCCCAAGTACTAGAAAGGAATATCTAACATCTATTTTTTTAAATTTTATAATCAATTTGATGAAAATTTACCTTGCCCAGAGCGGCTTTGGCGAGAGTCTACACTTGACTGTCTCCGATCCGGTGGTTCCTCGCTCCCTCCATCTGCACACAATTAAAAAAAATAAGCAAATAGATAATGAGATTTATATAACATCTTCTCTGATATCATTTACATCTTAAAACTATTAGAGCTATAGTTTGTTTTCATTTCTTATGTTTTGGATCATCAAAATATATGACAATTTTGGCTCAGTGTCCTTAGCACAGTGGTTGTGGCGCCAGACACATACACTGAGACTGCTGGGTTCGAACTGGCCTGGGCCAAACAACAATGACAACTGCAACAAAAAATAGCTGGGCATTGTGGTGGGTGCCTGTAGTCTCAGCTATTTGAGAGGCTGAGGCAAGAAAATTGCTTGAGCCCAGGATCAGAAAAAAAATTTTTGACTGTCTCAAAAAAATTTTTTTTGACAATTTTGAGAAATTTTTATGTTAGTTTCCTACATAAATCAATGGTTTCTATCTTTATTCTTGTGGGAGTAGTTTATACTACCCCTTTAAAGTTTAAAGAAAGTGAAGATGTTTTTCTCCTCCCCCATACAAATGAGGTTGGGCAATTAAGCTCATGAACTCATCCTAGTAAAAGTGCTACATACCTCATTGCTAAACATCACTGTGGTCACTTCTGAAGTATGTGCCTCCCTTGGGAAGCTATGGTTCGAGGCCAGCACCTAGCCTACCCTTCAAAGCACTCACTCTGACCATCTGATAACCACAGCGATATTCAGCAATGAGGTTATATATATCACTTTTTCCTAGGATAAGTTCACGAACTTAATTGTCAGGCCTCATATACATTCTACTTAGCATATAATAAAGAAATGCTATCACTCCCAAAGTTTATTCACAGAATTCCAGTTTAGAAGTCCTGATTTAGTAATGTCTAATTGAATTACAGCTGTTTATTTGTCTAAAGTACATCAAATACTCCCCAGGACTGTATGTTTTATTTCAAAATTATATTTACATATTTTATAAGCACTAAAAAAAAAAACCTGTAACAGATATCAATGAAAGTTAAACAAGTATTTTTAGTTAATTTTACCAAGATTTTTAAAATTATATGGAAACAAGGACATTTCATTATCTACATCTTCATTTTTTAAGAAATAAGAGAATATTCTCTCACACAATTTAAGAAAAGCTATGACAAATTTGAGTTTTTATAAATAATTGTCTCAATTTTACTATATAGAAAAATAAAAATAAAAATTAGTCCTCAGAAATAAAGCCATTGAAATAGGAACACTAAAACAGAAATCAATAAACTGAGAATGTAAAACATAAGGTAAAGAATGAGACAAAACCAAGCTAAAGCTTTAAATAGTGGTCTCTATGCCTGTAATTTGTTATCATGTTAGTATCACTTTAGCTAGATTAAAAATATATTAAAGCATCAACAATCTCCTTTGTTTTTTCATACAACCACTTGTCTCATTTTTAACTTGATAGAGAAAAGGAGTGGTAGCTGCAGATTTAACAAAGACTACTCTTGCTGTGTCATCTACTTATGCTACTGTTTATTCTTTGTCATAGTGCTCATGTATTAACACTTACTGCTTTTTAAACATATGGCCTATTTTTAAACTCATTATTGATATACATTTCTTTGTAGTATACTCACTGTATATGAGGCCTAGCAATAATTAAACCCACACTTATTTACAAGTATTCTTTATTTTGCAGAGGGCTATTAAGCTAGCAAGTATTAGCATTTTGTCAATATAAATAGTACAATATACAATATGAAACAGTAAATAAATTGGCAGAAAATATTGATATCCCTGAGTCTACTACGGCCACAGCAATTTAATAAAACCTTCCACTAATTTAAGTAGTCAGATTCATAAAATAACTTACCATACAGAAAGATAACCAAAGAGACAGGCAACTACATTTTCTAAGTATGCAAATATTTTAAAAATACAAATCAGTTTAAACATTATTTTGTTTTTGCTGTTACACAAGTTACTACATTTGAATAAAAATATACTTACATTTGTTGACCAAATAAAATACTACCTGAAATACAAATGTAAGAAAAAAGTTTCCTTTGACAAAATAGAGGGAAAAAGTTAAAGCAAAAATCTACCCATGGATTATCATTCCTTACTGGGTAATCTGCCTCTCCTATAATTAAAATTTAAATTATTTTCTTTTATTTAAAGGAAATGTGCATGCTTATAATCCTTCTTAATTGTACTTCAAATTCTAAATTAAAAATTCTATAAATTATATGGATTCTTTTTATAAGAACAACTGGACCAATTCAAATTTAAATTTTTATTTTTTAAACCCTCCAGGAATTCTTCCACCTTATTGTCTAATGAATTAATATTCATTATGTCCAAAAATCTTAAAGTGCTCTTTTCTTTCCAATGTTTTTAAGAACAGAAAGAAAGATAGCCAACAATTACTATTATACAGTTTATACAGTTCATCCAAGCCCTATGAAGTAAAGATCTATTTCACAGATGAGGACACTGAAACTCATGGTGACTAATTAGAATCAAGTAACCACAAAACTAGTAAAGATAAAACTGGATTTTAATCCAAGTCTGTTTCACTCAACACATCTTCCCAATCTAACTAATACTCAAATTTATTAAATATTTGTTGAGTTTAATTTGTTATATTTCCATTTCATTCTCTTTTCATAGAAACTGTATTAAAAAACATTGTTTAGTACTCACAGCAATTCTTTATAGAATAGAGGCTTTCTAACATTATGGGTTATAAAGACTTAGTCTTATAAATCCAGACTGGAAACAGTGTCTCATGCCTAAAATTCTAGTACTCTGGGAAGCTAAAGCAGGAGGATCACTTCAGGTCAGGGTTTCAAAATAAGCTTGAGCTAGAGTGAGACCACATCTCTATGAAAAATAGAAAAATTAGCTAGGCATGGTGGTGGGCACCTGTAGTCTCAGCCACTCAGTAGGCTGAGGCAGGAAGATCACTTGAGCCCAGGAGTTTTAGGTTGCAGTGAGCTGGGATGAGTCCACTGTACTCCAGCTTGAGTAACAGAACAAGACTCTGTTTCAAAAAAAAATTTTATTCATATATATAATAATTTATATAAAATAATATAGAAAGATTCTATAATCTATAAAATATTATATATATAAGTCCAATCTTTCTATTTATACACAATATAAAATCAAAAGTTTTGGTTTGTTTTTTTTTTTGAGACAGAATTTCACCACATCACCCTCGGTAGAGTGCCATGGTGTCACAACACAGGGCAACCTCCAACTCCAGGGCTTAGCCAGTAGGTTCTCAACCTTCCTAATGCCTCCTAATGCCATGACCCTTTTATACAGTTCCTCATGTTGTGGTGACCCCCAACCATAAAATTATTTTCATTGCTACTTCATAACTGTAATTTTGGTACTGTCATGAATCATAATGTAAATGTCTGATATGCAGGATGTATTTTCATTGTTACAAAGGGGTTGTAACCTACAGGTTGAGAACCCCTGGCTTAAGCGATTCTCTTGCCTCAGCCTCCCAAGTAGCTAGGACTGCAGGCGCCTGCCACAATGCCTGGCTATTTTTTGTTATAGTTGTTGTTTAGCAGGCTAGGGCCGGGTTCAAACTTGCCAGCCTAGTATATATGGCCGGCACCCTAACCACTGAGTATGGGCACTGAGCCAAAATCAAAAGATTTATTCTCTAAAGAAAAGACGCTTTCCCCCAAACCAGGTTTGCTCTCTCTATTCATTCTACTAAAACCAGGTTGCCAAGAGCTTCTTTTGACAATCAATTGGCCGCAACCAAAATAAAGTTCCTCATTATGAATTTTTGTATTCTTTGCCTACTGTTCCTTACTAAAAGATATCATTATTTAAGGCATTGGATAAACTATCAATAGTAAGAAAATTTAGAACCTGACATTCTACATTCTGTATTACCTATGCTTGGGTAACGAAAGTCCTCATCAAACATCTGTTCCCTGCTCTCTGTGAAATCTATCTCTGCAAACGTGTGTGTGCGTGTGCGCACACGCACGTGCATGCCTTACAGGGAATTCAAGAGAAATTTTCCCCTAACAAGAAAATAAGAAAAGTTGGCCCTTTTAAATTATTGACAGTGTAAAAATATGATATATTTTCCATTTTTTAGTGAAAAGGTCAATGCTCATTACATTGACATGTGAATTACTCCTGTCAAATCAACCACTTGAGATGGAAAACATTTTTAACTTACCTATGGTCTAGAACAATGTTAACCAGCATATGCTGTCAAAGAAATTACACTATGAAAAGCAAATAAGGACCCTGAACTGCCTGTTTAATGTTTTTTTAAGAAAATCCTTTATCTAAAATAATTTGCATTTTAAAAACATAGCCCTTTTGGTAGTATAGAGGTGTATTGGGACAAAGTGAGACTACAGTGGTGATTTTCAATACTGGCTGAATGAACACACATGGTTCTGTTCCATAAAGCCCATAAACTTTATTTATGAGCATGAAAATCTGAATTTCATATAATTTACATATGTCATGAAATACTGTTCTTCTTTTAATTTTTTCAACAATGTAAAATTTGAAAACCATCTTTAGATTATGGACCATATGAAAAAAAGTGGGCTAAGATCATTTGGAAATAGTTTGCTGAATCCTGATCTAAAGGCTGGGAGTTAGAGGGCTACTTAAAGCAATCTCTGTGAAAAGGAATGACTTAAATTACTTTACGCAAGGGCAGTCAGGAAGAGAAGAATTTCTGCAAATGATGGCTAATCTATTCAAGGAGCCACTGAAAGTTTAATGGTAGCATGGCTCACAGGCCCATTTCTTGGCTCTATGTAGGTGACCTTTTGGGGAGTAAAATGTAAGAATTACCAAAAACCAGCCAACAGAAAAGGAAGACCTTATTGCTTAATATATATTACATCTCAATCTTCTTTTTGACCCAGAAAAGCACTAGAAAAATGACTGAAAATGCATAATGCATTATGAAAAGTTTTTTCTTTCCCCAAGTAAAGTTTATGGTTCTTAAAGGTACCAAAGCCACAATCTCAGGCTCATTGTGTACAATAAAGT